GAGAGAGAGAGAGAGAGAGAGAGAGAGAGAGAGAGAGAGAGAGAGAGAGAGAGAGAGAGAGAGAGAGAGAGAGATAGAGAGAGAGAGAGAGATAGATTTAGCTGCTCTGACTTCAATTAGTTTCCTCATCAAGCTGAAGCGAATATTGAGGATTTGCCTATACTTCTCTGTTCCCCAAACAGCTGGACTATCGAAGGTGTCCATGTTGAGGCTTGTGCAATGAACCTTAAAGAAAAACAAAATTATTATACTAGTACAGGGAAAACATGGACAAACTTTTTTTTGAATTTTTTGAATGTTCTGGCAAGTGTACGAACTGACAGTGATAAGCAGAAGTCGTTCATGCACATTCTAAAAGATAATGTATGAAAATATGAACCAACATGTCACTTTCACCTCAAAGTCTTGAGTATTACATAGAAAATTTAACGTTAACCGTGAGAAAGCATCATTAATGAACATAAAGTAAATAAAGCTTCCATTCTTTTCGGATAGTTCCACTGCTACGTTCCCAATGTCCTGAAATGAAGAAAAATGTTGAAAAAAAATAATGAAAGTACATCTTACATTAAGCAGCCTCTCATTTACGGATATTGAATCAGGAATGGAGCTTTTGGTTGGAAAAAGAGAACTTAGATCGTTTGTAATTACAACTTTTCCTAATCCTTTCACATATTCTCTTTTCATAAGCAGAGGTCCATCAAATAATTCCTAACTGTAACCATTATGATAATCAAAGGTTTTTTCTGGGCAAACCTTTGAAGAGAAGTTATATCGTGGATAAAACTGTGTCGTTTTATATTTTACCAATGTAAGAAAATATAGAAGAATATACGAAAATAGAGCAAAATAGAAATATTTCTGATACATCACTATTTACATTTCAATCAAAATAGTTTTTTTAATATGTGATGGGGAAGTGTTCACTTAATTTGTTGATCGAATGACTATAGTGCGGAGGAAATAAAATTTTCCTTATAGGTTATGTGTTGATAGGTGAGACTAAGACCCCATTACGATTATAGAACCAGATTTACAAGAGATATCCAATAGATATTCCAATTCTCTCTTGATTTTTTTGTGACTTTCTTTCATTTTCACTTCTCTTTCTTGTACTAATAGTTATGTTATCTGTGTTGGCTTTTTCATCGTAGGAGAGTCGGCTTATTTTGGAACCGAATCATTGACTGGATTAGAACGTCTGAGATTCAAGAAGTGTGAACGCAGAGATGAAAGTTTTTCAAATGAAACGTTGAAATACCATAGACCGATCACAGCGCATGAGTTGTAGAAATGAAACATCAGCAGCTATACACGTGAAGCGTGGTTTTGTAACATACCACCGCTCACAGTGCGTCATATATCAAAATGACACACAACCGCTCTTACTACGCAATACGTAATGAAAATGATTATGACCTTTGCTTTCTGAACGTTTATGTTGAATCTCCTAGACATGTAGAAAACTTCATAAAACCTAATCAATTATACGGATTCATTTATAGAAAATATTTGTTCTCTTAATTAGCACTGAAGATGAACAGCTCATTCTGGAATTGTTCTGTTCAACCAATATATTGGTATGTTAGTACATAGGCATCCAAAAGCACTGAATGAAATTACAGAAAAGAAGCTTCATCCATCTGGGTAAAATGATAACTGGGAAAGGTTATCATTTAGTTAGCTCTCACGACCTATTATATATTTCATATGAAGAAAAAATAGCTTTAATATCTCTCTCAACAATGACAGTTTCGAAAAAAATAAGGTAAGTATGATGTTTATGGCCAAACTATTCTACTTATCATCTGCACGAAACGTCTGGATCTTGAGCTGCCAAATTAAATTATGACAATGACTAACTTTGGTCATAATCATTTCGTATAAAGATATGTCAGGGTAAACGTTCACGAAAAAACTCCACAAAATTTGAGCTCTGTATCAACGTAAGTGCGAGGTGAAAGAGAAGTCGTAGAAAGTAATACTCTTAGCAGAAGTTGTCTTGGTTGAGAAATATCTCTACATAGCTCAAAAACTAACTAACTCAGAATCTTTAAGAAAAGGCAATATAGTTTCAATAATATTTCCTAATCGTTTCTCCTACCTTTTCGTTACGAGGGATGGCGAATTTTTGAACAAAAAATTAGAGAGGTGAACTGCAAGAGCAAACCTTAATCAATCGAAGAACTACAGAGTCCTTTACGTTTCTCCTCTGATGTGCCCTGTGCTGGACTGTTTTCCGTTCTACTCGAACAAATCAAATAATTTAATGATAATCAACGAGGAAATGATATATTTTACCAATTTAACATCATTAACTGATTACAAATGTGTTTTTCTAATGAAGGTAGAGAGAACAGGATACGCAGTACTTTGTATATTTCAGGAATTCCTAGGAAATGTATCGAATATTGTCCTTCTCGCTCATGGCAATTACTGCATCTTTAATAAAAAAATACAGAAATGTTTCATAATTGACATCTCCAACAGGTTGTTACTCAGAATTGTTGTCAATTATGAGGTATATGCTGTTGCAGAAAAATTACTCATGAACTTCAGTTCAAACGAAATGAGTATACCGTCGACATACAAAGTTTTCAAGGCGTTTTATATTCTTTAACAAGTTCCGGAATTCTTTCCAGATGGAAAATTATGTCGAATGGGTTTGTTTTTTTTCTAATTTGAAATTAGAAAATATTGTGTTCTAGAAAGTTTCGACGTGAGCAAACTATAATTCTCAATCTGTCGTACTGCAAGAACATAGTGTACAAGTCAAGTAAGGTGAGAAACGCTTTACGAATAGAGATCAGAGATTGACAATCTTTTTTTAGCATATAATACTTCAAACCATCTCTAAACTTCACCTTATTCCTTTATTTTGTGAGTTTTGAGAATGAGATGACGATACAAACTACGGAAATTCCAAATGTGTCAACCTGTTTTTCTTGTAGAAGAAGAAACTAGCTAGGTTGATGGGAGAAAATTGATGATTATTGTTACTTTCTATTCCATTTTTGTTCGAAAATATTGTTTTTGAAATTGATAATTCGATTAAAAGGTTATTGAATATGAATTATGTGTTAATCTTTCTTCTTCCGTTACTTTCAAACGTCTTGTGCATCGAAAACGATTGCATAGACGGTATTGACAACGTGATTCATGTTGATTCCTATGGCGGTAAGAGGATGATCCGTTTCTTAGTTTCCATATATTATTAAATTTTAGAAAAGTTACATGTCGAAGTTAGAAATATTGTCATCTTGGTCTATGATATCAACATGAATCCTTCTTGTAGTGAAGGAAAAGTCAATGTAGTTCTTCCCGGCTACTTCCATATTATTTCTGGTAATCGTTATTTTGCGAGACAAATTCACCTCTCGTGATCTGTAGGAGAAGTTATCAATAACCATGGCTATGATTTGTTCAAATCAGGAATTGTAAAAGCTTCTGTAGCATTGAATGACCGAGATTTGTGCTTAGACGGTAGTAGCACGTATGTATTCATTCCTAACAAGTTTTGGTAAGTTTAAAGTTCCTCAAACTAAGTTTTTTTTGTTTTGTTTCAGTCGATTCAAGATAACTTCGTTCGTTCCATCTGATATGTGTTTATTATTACAACAAAAGGGAAATCACACTTTGGAGGAAGTTGAGGTTGAACTTTGTTTTTTTGTTTGAGAAAATAATAGGGAAAGAGACGGAAACAGAGAGAGAGAGAGAGAGAGAGAGAGAGAGAGAGAGAGAGAGAG